CGAGGGGGGCCGCGCGGCTGTGCCCAAGGCGCAGCTGCGCGGCGCCGTTCCCTGAAGCGAAGAAATCCGCTGGCGTGGGGAGCACCGCCGTCGGGTGGTGATGGTCGGCACACTGGAGGTGGCGACATCTGCGCTGCCTGCCAAGGGGGTCCTGCTGCTGCGAAGCTGAGGTGGCCAGCCAACCCAGACTGTCGCGCGGCGCTGCCCCTGGGCCCTAGAGCCGACACACACCAGGCGTCTCCCCAAAGCCGTGGAAACTGCCGCTGGGGGGGCCAAGAAGGACCATGAGCAGCGCGTACCACAGCGCGAACAGAGAGGGGGGGCCACAGCCCAAACGCAAATGCCGCGTCGGGCGAGCCTCGGGGCCACGGGCGGGGGACACCCACCGAGCCCGGGAGGGGAGAGGCGAGGGGGCGCAACGCCTCGCCCCACGGCCAGATACCCTGCAGCCGTGGGCCAGGGGCCGCGGCCTGCCGCATGGACCGTCCAGGGGGTCGCAGCTACTCGCCGCGAGCACCTGCGTGGAAGAAGGGGGGATCGCAGCTAATCGCCGCTAGGATCTATTTTACGTCGTGGGGGTCGCAGCTAATCGCCGCTGAGGTCTCTGTTGAATGTGTGCGAACCGGTGATGGCCCACAGGGGCCGCAATCAACTGCGAACGGGTGACGGCCCACCGCGGCCGCAGTCAACGCGGAAAGTGGGCCGGCAGCGAGATGCGCCTCCAAGGGTGGGCCCTGGGGAGTCGCAGCTACTCGCCGCTGGAGCTGAAGCTGCCAGAACTGTGGCCTGAAACAACAGGCCGGTAGGCTGGCGCGCAGGGGGGGGTGCTTCTGCCGACGTCCCCCTGTCACCGAAGGGTGGGTGGCTGTCGCCGCTGGACAGCAAAGTGGGGTGGCGCGCAGGGGGGGTGCTTCTGCCGACGCCCCCGTGTCACCAGAGGGAGAGTGGCTGTCGCCGTTGGACAGCAAAGTGGGTGGCCCAGGGACCGGTCAGCCCGGCGGGCTGATCCCCCGATGAGCAGGGGGGTGAAGTGTCAGGGATGGGTCCACGTATCCAGTGTGGGCTGTCTAACTATGCTGCGCCTTGGGTGAGATGTGGGGCGACCCCCGCCCCAGCGGGTGTTGCCCCAAGGAATTACGGCGAAGGCCGGGCGCTGCGAGGTGAAACAAGCCCCTCCGGGGGGGTGAAAGGTGGGTGGTGAGGGGCTGGTGGGGATACTTTTTTGATCAGCGGCCCGCAAGGAAGAGTCCAGAGGGCGCGTCAATCAGGCTGACTGGGGCACAGAGCCAGATAATTTGCGAACCCATCTGTCACTGTCGACAGCCGACCGCACGTGCAAGCATGCAGAACAAATTTGGAAAAAAGGGCAGACGGAGGCACCCAGCCATGAGATGCAGAGCGGCCACTGTCGAGAGCCAGCCGCACGTGGCGACGCACGCGGCGCCAGCACCCTGAAGCCGGGCGATGAGCAGGGCGACAGGAAGAGAGGGAGAGGGGAAAAGAAAGATGCCTCACTCACAGAACACCAGGTGCTCGAAGGCGGGCCGTCACTGAACCAATCAACGGTGGACAAGTCGTGAATCCCGAATGGCAACCACCACCACCAAAGACAGGGATGAACGTCGCGTGGGGGCCACGTCACAACCACCAGTGCTCAGAGCCCCGCCAGGGGGAGACTGCGGGCAGGAGTGCACCACCTGATCCTCGCAGAGGGGCAAGACGTCGATGGCGTCCGCGAGCGTGAACTTCTACCAGAGGAAGGAGCAGAAGTCGCTGGCAACGCCGGGAACCGGGAAACGCCTGCCAAGAAGAGGCACGCACCTGCCAAAAGATGCACCACTTGTACAGGAAGCCGTCCTCCTGGGCGACGGCGCCGTGTAGCGGAACGGGCACGTCGTGGAAAGGCCGGGCCTGCCAAAGGATAAACCACTTGTGCAGGAGTGTGCCTTACCTGAACCACCCGCAGGTGAAGGTCGAGGGGCCAGTCGGTGCTTGTCAAGTGGGGGGAACAGCCACTGGGCAAGAGGACCAGCCTTCAGAAGGCGTCGAGTGGAACGTATGGGGTGGGCCTTGGGCCGGAGACCCCCACCATCCCAGGCGAGCACTGTACCAATACGCAGTGCTGAGAGAGGTACACCTCATCCCCAGGAGGTGACCCAAAGGTACGACTCCTTGTCGAGTAGGGGCCACCTCGACGGCAGTGACCCGTGGGGGCAACTGCCGATGTGGAGCGCGCCTTGTGAACGTCGTACGTCGTCGGCACGCCACAGCAGTCGTCGAGGGCGTCAGGAGGGGAGGTGGGGAGGCGCAGCCGATAGCCGCAGAACATTTGAATACATGGAGAAGAGGAGCCAGGTGGTAACACCGTCGAGGGCGTCAGGAGGGGAGGTGGGGATACGCGAAGCGTCTAGAACAACCCCTAAGTTCTGCGAACCCCTAAAGACCCCCCAAAGACTCCCCGCGGGGCTCGCTTGGCGCCCTCTTCCGGGCCGTCTTGGGGGCCTCTGGGGCTCTGGAGTCCTCTGGGGCCGTCGTGAGGCGATCTGGGAGGCACCCAGGGCCGTCTTTCGGCGGCGAGTCCAGGGGGGAAGCCAGAAGGAGAAGGCCGTCTCAGGCGGCCAGGCTTCTGAGAAGCCTTCTGAGAGGTTCCCTGCGTCTTCGGGGAAGGCTTAGAAGACGTCTCAGAAGGCTGGGGAGGACGTCCGAGCCTTCTGAGAATGCCCGCCCCTTCTCGCTCCCTCCCTGGGCGCCACGCCGATCCTGGGCCGTCGGGGGCTGGGGAAAGCCCGAGAAGGCGAGAGCGCCAAAGTCCAGCAAAACCAAAAGGCCTCGACCAATGCTGCGGATTGGGGGCCATCCTGGAGCGTATGCGGCCCAAGGTTGCGTCGTCGGGCCCCAGGGGACCCTCTTGGGACGCCTTTGTCGGGCCTGGAGGGCGCCTGGGGAGAGCCCCGGGAAGCCCGCCCAGACCCCCCCCCCCTGGGGAGGCCGCGTCCTCCCGTGTGTTGCCGAGGTCACAGGCGGGCCCTCGTCCCCTGGGAGATTCGCACGGCCCGACCTAAGACAGAAGACCGTCCTCCAAGAACATCAGACCCTCCGCTGGCCAAACCAAAGAACATTCGAGAGTACCCCTCCACCAGGATGTACAAGAACATCCAACAGACACGAAAACATTAGGGTACCTTCCCGAACCAACCTCGATCGTATACCTCGGTCCGACCGTACACGCACTAGGAAGGAGGGAAGATGGTTATGCAAGCCGCCCATGGTGAAAGCCTCTTTCAGGGCGGCCGCAATCATCATCACGATGAACGTCTGGCCGTCGTCGGCTCCGCCACCCTGGAGCTGAAGCTCGCCCTTCCACGCCCTCGGATGGGACATTGTCAACTGCACACTGTTGGGTTAGTTCGGCTATGTACATAACAGCTCGACCGACAGCACCGCGGAGTGCTTCAGTTCCCCTCCATGTTTGTCGTCCGTGCCGCAGTGGATCACGGTGCACGAGTATGACTCGTTGGCAGCCCAGCTCGGCTTGTCTTCCAGTCCCTGAGGCGTGTTGAGGACGTGACGGAACGACTCTGGTATCCCAGCCTTCCGCGAGGCATCATTGCACCGCATCCCTAGGTCGCCCAGGTATTCCCTCCAGCAGCCTATATAGACTGCCCATTCCTTGGCTCCAGTGGCGAAGTGTGACGCGTACATCATGAGCATTACAAGGCATCTTTCTTGACGCCAGTTTTACCGAAAGACTGGATGACATCTGTATGGTAGAAGTGCTTTCCATAGCCAAGGTTGTCCGCTCTTGCTTTCCTGAAGCGAATAACAAAATCTCCGTCAAACTTCGCAGGCGTCCTGACACCAAAAGCGTGAGCCTTGCGTACCAGCTGTTATGGTCACCGAGGGATTCCATAGTCATGAGCCTCTTCACCATACGAACCCACGAAAGGTACCCCAGGTCTCTCAATAAGCGTGGGGGGGTGGATCGCGTGGAGGTGGTAGGAAGCCGCTGTCATTCGGGGGGCGTGGGGAGGTTGGGGAGCGAGAGGGAGTGGGTTTGGGGCGCGTCGGGGGGCGGCCAAGGGGCGTCGGACAGGTTGGCACGGGGGGGTGCTTCTTGAACGATCTGGAGTACCAAGAAGCATCACAGCCTGACAACTTGCACTCGTCCTCGGCGCCGTATTCGTCCACGCCCACGGGAACCTCTGGCAGTTCCGCCCGGTGGGCGGCCGCGGGCGCTTCGTGGGCGCCCCGTGCTCCGGCCGAGTCCGTGCCGAGGTCTCGCCTGGCGGACGGCCGTGCGCTGGCTGAGTCTACGTCGAGGCTTCGCCCGGTGGCTGGCCGAGGGCGCCTCGGGGGCGCCCCGCGCGGCTCGCGCTGCTCTGCTTGCATCACATAGCTGACACTATTTTTCTGGCATCTTTACACCTTCCACCGAATAGGGTGCACCACATAGCTTGCACCGCGTAGCTTCCACCGCATGGCTTGCTCCGCTTAGCCTGCACCACATTTAGCGCAGACACCCAAAGGTGTAAGAGCTCACTGCCTGGGGCACACGTTGGCAAACATTGTCACCTTAAGCTTCGTACGGTATCACTCAAGTGGAAGAACCCCAAGGGCATCGAGGCCAACATGCGCCCACTTCGCTCCCAGCCCCTAGGTGTCTTCCGAAAAGAAAAGGTGGCAGAATCGGTGCTCACGACGGTGAGGTCTGCGGAACCCCCAGGTGGCAACATCCAAATCGCGCACCCACCGCCCATGAACTCCTGTGGGGGCTCGGATTTCGCAACTGACTGCCCCCCTTCCAGCCTCGGCCTCCAGAGCCCAGCCCCTCCCCAGCCGCCCCCTAACGCGATGGCAAATTTGCGCCGCAACGCAACTGCATACGAACCGTGATACTGTCGTGTTGGGCAGGGGGGTGCAGGGGGCAGGCAACGGAGGATGCAGAAGAGATGGGAGTGGGGGGAGATACAAGCGCAGACACTCGAAGAGAAGCCCAAGTCCGTCAGCCAGTCCAATGCTCCGTTCACGGCTTCCTTGCGCTGGGGGGGATGGCAGGGGCCACGTGCTCGCGCGATCCAGTGTGGTTGGCGCAAGGTGTCCGCAAGCACGAAAGGGCACCTCCCCCCGTGTCGTCCCTCCTCTCCACCCTGGGCGGAGCTGGGGGGGAGAGGGAGACGAGAGGGGGAGCGGGGGAGGAACGGGGGAGACGGAGAGAAGGGGAATGGTGGATCGGGGGGAGGGCGAGAGGGGCAAGGAGGGCGAGGACGAGGGGGGGAGGGCGAAGGTTGCCGCAAGTTGCCTTGCTCGCTTCCGTCCGCCCTTTGGGCATACCCGTAGCACGCGAACCTTAGCTGCGCAACGATCGCCATGGCATGGACTACAGGAGAGAGCAAGTGTGGACACCGGGTGCCCCGTTTCGGCCAGGTGCGGAAGCCGCGCTGTGCTGTCAGAGGCCACCCGATTGGAGGAAGGAGTGATTAAGGATAAAGAGGAGGGACGAAGGTGCGGAAGAGGGTGAGTGCAAGGACTGGAGGTTTCGGGACCCATTAGCTTGAGATTCGAAAGTTGCGCCAACAAGGCTGTCAAACAGTGGCCGCGTCAAAAATAAACGCGCCGATACAAACATGATGATGAACACATGAGGTGAGGCATGATGTGTTCCCAGTAAAATTTCACTTCCTACCTATATATATAAGAAGCAAACAAGTGACTGGAAGTATGGAGCCTTGAAAATATGAATAATTTGGCAACAGACCATGCAAAAACCAACACGCTCCATGCCTGCAAAGTCGTTTTCCGGCAGGGGCCACTTTTGCTGCGGGCGGGAAGGGGGCAAAGGGGGTAGGCTAGGAGGACGAGAGGCAGAGCCGGGAACGGTAGGAGGAGGACGAGGAGGCTGACGTGGCAGCGCTGTGTCAACTAGCGACAGAAAACGCGACCGAAAGAGCACTCACGCTACAGGCTGCCGTTCAAAATGCACTCGCGTACACGCGTCCCTAGCTCGATCCAAACTGGTCAGGTACAAGTATCCTGGCGAAGAGCCGATATGCGGTACCACCCCCTGGGGCGGTCGGTGGAGCCCCCTACGGGGTCACGACACGTGTGAGAGGTGTCCGAAATGTGCACGCGGGGGGGGAGGCAAATGCAGGAAAGGGAGGAGAGAGGAGGGGGCAGCGGGAGAGAGTGGAGCGCGGCGCTGTGGATTCAAAACGAGGACCCAACACCGCAAGATGTATTGAAGTTATCCTGGCGAAGGGCCGAACCATCTGCAAGTGTGAGTACGGGAACGCAGGTGGGACGACGAGGGAAGGTGATCTCCTAATGGGCCACGAAACGTGTCTGGCGTGCGCCAACATGGGGGGGACAGTCGCATGTGGACGCACCCACTGGGGACATAGCGTGTGAGGGGTGCGCCGACGTGGAGGGGAACCGCTGTTGTCGCACCCACTGGGGCCTCTGTCAGGTGGAGCTCCCTATGGGGTCACGAAAAATGTGAGGGGTGTGCGAGAGTGGGCTTAGAGACACATGTGGACGCGCAAACTGGTGCCTTGGGAGGAGCTCCCTAAAAGACCACGAAACATCAGTTCGGTGGAGCTCCGGCGGGGCCACGAAACGTGCGAGTTGTGCTGAAATGGGTTGGGGGACGCTGTGCGGTACCACCCCCTGGGGCCTTGTGGAACTCACTATGGGGCTACGAAGCGTGACCGTGACCCCGTGGGAGCCCACTTATAGGACCACGAAGCGTGTGACGGGTGTGCCGAAACGGGCTGGGCAACGCTATGCCGTAGCACCCCCCGGGGGCATCGGTGGAGCTCACTATGGGGCCACGAAGCGTGTGAGTTGTGCCGTGCCGAAATGGGCTGGAGCACGCTGTGCGGTACCACCGCCTGGGGGCGCTCGGTGGAGCTCCCTGTGGGGCCACGAGGCGGGTGAGAGGTGCGCCGAAAGGGGCTGGGAGACGCTAATTGTACGGTGCCACCCCCGGGGGCGGGCGACGGAGCCACCCTGTGGGGCCACAAAACGGGTGGGAGGGTTCCGAAATGTGCACGCGGGGAGCAAGGGCAGGGATGGGAGGAGGGCGTAGTGGGTGGCGGGAGGGAGTGGAGCGCGGCGCTGCGGATTGAAGCGAGGACACAACACCACCGAACGGCTGGGAAAATATGAAAAGGGTGGAGGCGAGATGAGGAGGAACACAATGGCAACGGAGAAAGGAAGCGTATGCCGACGAGTGGAAGGAGGAGGAGAGAAGAGGATTGGAAGGAGGAGGAGTCGGAGGAGGAGGAGGAGGTAGAGGACCACGACGACGACGACGACGACGACCAATACAAGGGCGAGGGAGGAGAGGATGCCGACGAGGACAGGACGGAGACAAGGACGAATCCGCGACCGAGGAGGATTGCAGAACAGGGTCGGCGCTGAAGGCTGGAGACCTCTGGATAGCCTCGAGTGGAGGGGGAAATAGTAACAATTCGTGACCTCCGATAGGGAACCGAAAAATAGTCAGGTCAGCGCGGGGCTCCATGCAAGGGAGTTGCTCGAGTGCCACCAGAGGCGACCGAAAACTGACCCGACCGGTCCACCAGGGAACAGCCGCCGCAGGAACACAATGAGTCAGGCCGGTGCTGTGGCCTGCTGTACGCGGCGAGCGAGGCGGGGAAGTGATGAGGAGAAGGCCTTCTCAGAAGGCGGCGGGACTTGTCCGAAGCCCTCGTGCGCTCTGACAAGTGTTTCTGTCTTCGGGGAAGGCTTAGAAAACTTCTCAGAAGGCCGGGGGACTTCAAAACCTTCTGAGAAGGCCTTCTCCTTCGCACTTCCCCTCTCGCCAGCCGCCGATACTGGGCGTCACCGGAAGGGACTCGACCGACCTGGACGCTGACCCCACGCTTTTGTTCTTGATCTCCAAATCGCACTGACTGTCTCACGACGCTGGCCACCTCCCCCCCGCGCATCCCGCGCAAACCCTGGCATGCCGGCTATCGCGTTCAATATTCCGTGCTGCTCCGAGAAGCACTCTGCGACGCACTCGATGACCGAAACGTGTTGCCGCCGACGAGAAGACTTGTTTTGTCATACGTACGCTAATATGGACTTCGGGTCCCTGGGTCTGGCGCGCGGGCACACGACCCACGGAGCGGGAAAACACCCCTTCGCAGCATGAGGCCTATGCCGCCTGAACTGACGACGGATCGCGCCGATTCTATATGGAAACGGAAGTCGCAAGTACACTCGCCTTACTCGCTTGATTCCACACCAGACAGAAGCGTTCCTGCCGATCTGACCACACCAGCCCGCGCCTCTGCTGGGTGGGGCACCGCGTGGTTGCTGGGCCACTGCGAAGGCGCGCGTCGCACCCGCCAGCTCCCCTCCCTCCTCCCGTTCATTCCCGAAGCAGTGAGTTCCCCCTGTGAGGTCCACACATCCTTCCTTTCATCCCCTCGTCCTCGTCCTCGTCTTTCTCCTCCTCCTCCTCCTCCACCTCCACCTCATCCTCCTCTTCCTCCTCCTCCTCCTCCACCTCCTCCTCCTCCTGTTCCTCCTCCTTTTCCTCCTCCTCATATTCGTCCTCCTCCTCCTTTTTCTTCCTCGTCCTCCTCCTCCTCCTCCTCCTCCTCCTCCTCCTCCTCCTCATCATCATCATCATCATCATCATCATCATCATCATCATCATCATCATCATCATCATCATCATCATCATCATCATCATCATCATCATCATCATCATCATCATCATCATCATCATCATCATCACCATCATCATCATCATCATCATCATCATCATCATCCTCATCGTTATCATCATCATCATCATCATCATCATCATCATCATCGTCATCATCATCATCATCATCATTACCATCATCTTCATCATCATCATCAGCATCAGCATCAGCATCGGCATCAGCATCAGCATCATCATGACCATCACCACTATCATCATCACCGTCATCATCACCATCATCACCACCACCACCATCATCATCTGAATCATCATCATGATCGTGATCATCATCATCATCGAACTGATCCATGGTTGGCGCCCTTCCACCCCCCTTTCCGCCGCTGCGGCCCGGAGCCATCCTCGCAGATGCCCTCGCACCGCCGAGGCGCACAGTATGAACACAACTTGGGGTGCAGGAGGACATACCAGTACGACGCGTCATCGTTGGAGGCGTCTGTCCGAACAGATCATACGGCACCCAAAAAAACAAATCTGCATCCCAGCGCCATGGCCTGAAAGCGCCCGCCCACGCGAATCTGCCTTGAGAACTCCGAAAGCTATAAATATGTTTGCGAGCATCGCTTATCCGACCCCCATACCCAACGGCGTGGCCTGGGCCCCACTGGCCGATTTGCCCCACTGGACGGGGACATAGGCCGTTCCCTTCGGGTTTCGATCGACGTTGTCCCCAACTGGGGTGGCCATGTGGTGGGGGTCTCGAAGGGGATGACGATGGTGGTCGGTCAAACGATACCGAGCTTGGGCGGCAGACAACGGCAGGCAGACCAGGAGGCACCGAGGTCGACGCCCGGCGGCACAAGCCGAAGCCCCCGCGAGGGCGCCCAAACCGAATTCGGAATGCGGAGTCGAATTGGCCCGCCGGGAGTCCACGGGGATGGCCCGAAGAGGCCTTCCAAGGCCACCCCCTTGCTCCCAGAGATATCTCGGTTCACCCTGGCTGCTCCTTTTGTTTTCCTGGATGTGTTTTTTCCGTCCCTCTTCCCGTCAGCTCTCATGGGCAGGGTTTCTGAATGGGCTGGCGGTGATATTTTTGATCGCAAACGCACCGGACAACGCCGGGCGCCGTCAGAACGAAGCATCGAAGCAACGGCCTCAATTAGCGGACAGAAAAAAGGGCGAAAAGAAAAGAGAAAGACGGCGGAAGAACAACCAGCGGGCGGACCTCACTGCCGCTCACAAGAGCGCCAGCACCAGGACGAACACCTGGGCGTCGTGCAACACCTCGAGGAAAGTGAGGTCCTCGACCCAGAAGAGGAGGAGCATGACGTGCGGGCGCTGAAAAGAAAATCCGGATCGCCGGTCACAAAATGGCGCGAGGAGTCGGTGAGAAGAAGCCAAACTCCAGCGAAGAGTCGGCGAGAGCCAACGCTTGGGGACATGAGCAGGTCCTGGGGGAGGCAACGAGGGGGGAGCCAGGGTGTCCGTCGACGCCGGGCAGAAAGAGGCGGCAGACTCAAGGCGAGCCGCGGGCCCAGGAGCCCTGGAGAATCCTCGAAATAGGGTGAGGCCAACAGGCACACCTCTGGCGGGGCCAGGGTGGCCACGACGAAAGAAAGGCCCGCAGACCTGCGTCCAGGGTCGGGGGGGTTCTCAGCGACCTCGTGCGCAAGGCTGGGGTGGCGGGAGAATATGGTGGCGAGCCGTCGGAGGCCAGGTGTGACCGCGAGCTGCGAGAACCTGGCAGCAAGAAGCGAAGGGACTCACTGAGGGAGGAGGAGGAGGAGGAGCAGCAGCAGCAGCAGCACGACGAGGGAGACGAGGAGGAGCAGAACGAGCGAAGGATGTCTGCACTGAACAATATGAAGGCTAAGATACAATCGCCGCCGACCTTAACCAGGCCCGGCGACAACATAAAAACAAAGCCTCGTAAACTGCGGGCCCCGCCAACCGGACGGGACCACGGCGTGTCAGAGTCCAACAGAATGAGGAGGAGCGGCAGCAGCAGCAGCAGCACCAAGAGGAGCAGGAGGAGGAGGGGGACGAGTGAAGAATATCTGCACTGAACAAAACAATTGCTCAGATGCAATCGCCGCCGACCTCAACCAGGCCCAGCGACAACATAACATCAAAAGCCTACTAACTAACTGGTTGAATCGTCGAACACGCACTAAATAATCAAAGTTAATTTCACTCCCTGCACTCCTCGTTCCCCGACCAGCCCACCTGCACCGCATGAGGCACTGTGGTCTCAGCGGCAGACTCCCGCCGGAGCTCCTCCCCAGCACTGCTCTCGTTTTCGGCTGGGGTCTCCACGGGTGTGCTGGCAGCTATCTCCTTGAGGAGTGCATCCTCCCCTATCTGGGGCGCCTTGTCGGAGGGAGGCTCAGCGGTCGTGGCGGTGGCGGTCATCCAATTCCGGACCATCTCCCGGATCCTTCTGAACATGCCTGCAGGAGGTTCCGCAGGCGCGGTGCTGACGGACACTGCCTTCGGACGATCATCTTGACTCTCGTTCGCAGTTTCGGCTGAAATATCTGCTGGCGCGGCGCTGGCTGTCATCCCCGTCAGGACCTCCGCCTGGATGCTGCCCCCCGTCCCTGCGCGCGTGGCACTGGCGGACACCTTCTTCGAAAGGTCCTCGCGAATCTCGCCCGCTTATTACCTCGGCAGGCGTGGTGGGGACTGACGCCCCCTCCAGCGCCTCGCTAGTCTCGTTGGCGACCTCGGCGGGAGCATCCGCGTGCTTGTCGGCGATCAAAATGATATCCTTGAGAAGTTTCTGCCCGCCACTGTTCTTCTGCCCTTCAAGAATTTGCCCCTCCACCGCAGAGAGCACCGCCTCGTCGCTGGCGACCAGGGGCAGCGGCTCCGGACTCACCATCTCGACGTCGGCAGCGTGGGTCGCGCCGCTCCCACCTTCGATGGGCTCGCGGTCGTCGGCAGCGTGGACCGCACCGCTCCCCCCCTCGAGAGGCTCGCCGGCGTCGCCGCGTTCACTGCCAGACATGGCAGCGCTGCTGCGCACCTCAGCAAGCTGGCCCGCGTTGCTCTGCCCCTGGGCGGGCAGGGTCGCGCTGCCCTCCTCCCCGGCAGACCCGGCGAGCTGCCGGGCAGCGCCACCCCGCTCCTCGGACGGCTCGCCCGCGGCGCTCAGCTCCCCGGCAGGCGCGGAGGCGTTGCCCTCGGCAGCCCGCTCGCACCGCTCTGCCCTCGCCGCAGCCCCATCCAGCTCGACGTCAACCAGCTCCGCGGCGAAGTCGTTCACGGGAGGCTCCAGGTCCACCTCTGGCGAGGGTGCGCCCTCGGCTGCCGTGGTCGCCGCGGCGCGCTCTCCGGCCGAGGCCTCGCCGGGCTCCGTGCGCGCCTCCAGGCCCCCCCCCCCCCCACGGGCAAGGCCTCCGCCGGCACGCTCGGCCCCCTCTCGAACGAGTGCACCGCCGCGATCTCGCCCGCGCCCCGCGCAGCCGACGGCCCCTCGGGCGCCCGCGGCGCAAGCTCCAGGGCGCGCGCCGCGAGGTCCTCCGAGGCGGCCTCTGCGGCGCGCACCGCCGCTGCGGTCGACGCGGCGCCCCAGGCCGCGGCGTCGACCATGCCATCCCACTCGCCGTCCATGCAGGCCTTCAGCTCCCCCATCGCCATGCCCCCATATGGCTTCTTCACCCAGGAGCCGCCGTCGGCCAGCACCCGCGCCGAGTGCGCTGCGGGGCATGGTCTGGCGCAACCCGCAAGCATGCGGTCAAAGATGCTATCCTGCACCTCCTCGCAGCTGGAGGTGTTCGCGATGCCCGGGCACCGCTCTGGGCGACCCCTGACCCCCGCCGTCTGGGCCACAACCTCGTCGAAGCAGGCCGCGCCCTCCTCGGCGTTGCTGCAGGCGAGCTTCGCCGCCCTCTGGGGCTCGGGTTCCGTCGCTGGCCCCACCGCCGCGGCGGGCTCCTCGAGCGCGTCGACGGCGTCGTGCTCCGAGCACGGCCCGGGGCTCTGGGCCTCGCCTTGCTGGCGCAAGACGGCCTGCACCTCCCTGTCGGCGGACCCGGGGCCGAGGCTCGGGCACCAGTCGGGGTGCTGATCGAAGCCGAAATTCCTCAGCCACTTCATGGAATTCGAGCACCAGTCGCCTGGGGCCGCGTCGCCACAGACGTTGCGCGGAAGTTACGCGACTGCTCCGCGTCCGGCAAACTGGCCGCCGGGCACGACGAGCGCGTTCTGGCACGGCTTCTCGCAGCCCCCCTCCCCGAGGGAGTGGAGCATCATCTGGACGTCCTGGAAGGGCGCGTCGCTGGGAAATCCCGCGTGCCACTCGGGGTGCTTCGCGAACCCACTCTCGGGAAGCCACGCCACGGAGCGATGGGAAAGGCTGCCCTCCGCCGCGCCCTCGCAGTCGGACGCGCCCGCGGCGGTGGCCGGGCCGTCGGGCGCCCCGGCGCTCGCCGGCAGCTCCTCGAGCTCGGCGGCGCCGAAGTCGTGCGCCTGGGCCTCGCCCATCTGCAGGGGCCCCAGCGCGCGCTGCTGCCGCTCGACATCGGCGCGCTCCGGGGCGCAGGGCAGCGCGCACTGGGCCACGCCGAGCTGGCGCAGCAGCGACTGGAAGTCCCAGGCGGTGCACTGGCCCACGCCCCCCGGAAACCAATCCAGGTGCTCCGTGGCGCCTTTCTCTTTCGCCCACGCGAGCGCGGTGCGACGCCGCTCGCCAGGGGCCGCGTCGCGGCACCCCGCCGCAAAAGGCCCCGGGGGCACGCTGATGTGGAGCGCCAGGCAGCTGCGAAGAAGTAGAGGCACCACAATCGGCACCATGACGGCGAGACTGCATGGGAGGCTAGGAAGGGGCGGGCGGGTCGCCCGCACGCCAGTCAAGAGCAAATGCGGTTTGAGCCAACATTGCCACGGAGGCTGGCGGGGATACTTTTTTGCTCGCAAGTGAAAGCGGACAGCCACGCGGCGTCATGGAGTCGCACGAAAACCAGGCCTACAATGAGCAGGACAGACGCCCACACTACAGCAGGCGAGCGCTGAAAAAGGCAGAGGCGGCAGCAAGCCGGGCAGGGCCGAGACCGAGCGCGGGCGGCGAACGGACAGCGAAAATGGCCAGGCGACTAACCACAGCCCAGCTCAGAAGCCGAAGATCAAGAGCCCGAGCACACCAGTGACCTCGACCTCCTCGAAGAGACACGCCACGTCTCCGTCAGCGCATGCCAATGCCAAGTGCAATCAGGTCCCTGCATCCCAGGTGCCCCAATTCGGCAGAACGAATCGTCAGAGGAGCCTCGGCCAGTGGGAGGCGCGTGTGCTTCCGCCGCGAAGCCGATCAAGAACACCACAAGATGTCAAGCCCATACAGCCCTGCGGGGGGACGCTGCAGGACGGTGGACGGGCCAGGGTAAATCGGTGGAGCGCCCCGGGGGGAGCGCTGAGGGCCAGGGACGTGCTGTAAATGGGGTCGCGGCTAACAGCCGCAGAGATACGGTTGCCATACTGTGAATCGGGTCGCAGCTAACAGCCGCGGAAATAGTGTGTCAAGGGCGGACCGTGCGCCTCCAGCGGGGGGATAGCCGCGGGAGGCGATCGGGACAGTCGAACTGGGATGATTATTGCCAGCATGCCTCGACGCCCCGGGGGGGCGCGGGCACGTTGCACGGAGTCAGTCGTATGTGAAACCGAAAGTGCGGTGTACTCAGTGAGCCCGCGCCCCGCCTGCGGAGGGCACGCAGGAGGGTGGACGGGCCAGAAAGACCGGTCATCGAAGAAACGTGAAGCGTAAGCGCCCCTGGAGGACGCGGCGAGGGCAGGCCCAACTGCTGAGGAGGGTCGCGGCTAACAGCCGCGGAGTTGGTGAGAAGACGTACGGACCAGAGCACCACTGACAGGGGGACAGCCGCAGAAGGAGGACGGACGGGCCTGCCCAATGAGACCATGGCGTGCAGGCCCTAGCACCCCGGAGGGAGCACCGAGGGCACGGGCGTAGTGTGAGTGGCGTTTGCAGCTAACAGCCGCAGAGAAAGTAGAGACATGGTGGAACGAGCCTCCTGAGAGGGGACATCTGCAGGAGGGGGGGCGGCGAGGAAGGCGCGAGGGCGGGGCAAAGGGGGGGCGGCGAGAGGGGGGGCGGCTAACAGCCGCGGTCAGTGTGAACAGAGTGAGAGGGCGCCAGGCGGGAATCTGAAGCATGAAGAATTGAATAGAAGTCGCAATCCCAGAGATCGAATCGGCTCGAATCGACAATCGAAACGGATCTAGCTCTTGCTCCTGTGGTTTTCGGTTTGGCTCCAAGCACGGACAGCAGACCCAAAGAGGCCCCCAAGAGGCTCCCCCCCCCAAAAAAAACAAGAGGCACCCAACAGGCCCCCAGGGCCTTCAAGAGGCACGAGGTGTCACACGTGACGACATCCCTTGCCAAATCGAGCAATCGCCACCAAGAATGCTGCGCTGGCACGGTGGCGGAACTTGCCGCAGGCAGCTGGGTATGAGCCCCCTCTCGCGTTGGGGCCCTGCCATGGCTCTGCGGATGCTTTCAGGCCTGTCTCGAAGAGGGGTGCAGGAGCTTCCTGGACCCCCCCACACCTTGAAACCGACAAAAGGAAACACCCCGCGGGGAGGTTTTTCGTGGGGGGGGGGAGGTCAAGGCCTGGAGGGGGGGGGGGTGCTTGGGGACATTGGAGGTGTTTTCTGGGGGGCACCGCCTCCGCACAACTACAAAGAAGACGATAACAGAAAACAAAACAGACAAAAAACATCCGGTTTTGGGAGGGTTAGGGAGTCCCCTCGCCAGGCTGCCAAAATCCCCTGCTTCGAAAAAAAACCGTTGAAAAAAAAAAAAAAAAAAAAAAAAAAAAAAAAAAAAAAAAAAAAAAAAAAAAAAAAAAAAAAAAAAAAAAAACCTTGGGGGAAATAAAGGGGCTTCCTCCCAAGAAAAACCGTGAGGGGAAGTTAGAGGGGTTTTCTCCCCCAAACAAAAAAAACTCAGAGTGGTGTTTGGGTGGTTACAAAAGGTGCTCCCCCGTGGACTCCCCAAAAACCTCCCTCGGAAAGTTGTTTGAGGGGTCAGGTGGGTGGTCCTCCCTAGACCCCCCCCAAAAAAAAACGCAGGAGGGCTTTTTGTGGACGGGTTGAAAAAAAAAGATTTTCCTCTCCGGACCCTTCCACAAACCCCCTCAGGAAGGTTCTTGGGGTTAGGGACGTTTCCTCCGGGATCCCCCAAAAACCTGGACGCCTCTGGGAGCCTCCGAACGCCTCGGGGACGCTTGGGGAGGGGCCTCGTCCAGCAACGGGTGGCGCATGTCAGAGGGGCACGTTCAGTACCAAGGCGGATGGTTGAATTGGCGTTGGGAGGGGCCTCGTCTAGCAGCGAGCACAGCAGAAGGGCACGTCTTGCACCGAGGAGGCTGATTTAATCAGCTTGGGGAGGGGCCTCGTCTAGCAGCGGGTGGCGCACAGCAGAGGGGCACGTCTATCAGCAAGGATACTTTAATGTTCAGCTTAGGGAGGGGCCTCGTCTAGCGTTAGGTCGGGCCTGTCCCCCTACAGGGGGATCTTGGACGAAAAATCAAAAATACCCCAAAAAATACGCCAACCGTCCCCAGACTATGGTTTTACTATTTTTGAATATTCCTCCTGTAGAGCGACAGGCCCGACTTAAGTCTAGCAGCGGGTGATGCACAGCAGAGGGCACGGTCTGAGGGGAACACCCACTATCATCGCCCTTTCTTCCCATGAGAAACTCTGATTGCGCATAGTTAACGTTTAAGAAAATGTCAGCGGTTAATTACTTGCAACTGCGTGTCCCGGCGAACGGTGACGGAGAGAACGAGGAACGGAACGAGGAGGACGAAGACGACGAAGATCAGAAAGACGAGGATGACGACGACGCCTGGCCCGGCCCGGCCCGGCTCGGCCGATGTCCATGGCGCTGCGGAGGGTCTCGTTGGCCTTGTCCACCGCGCTCTTGATGGTGCTGTTCACTGCATCGGGCATATCCTGGCTGCTCGTGGGGGACGCCCTCTCGCGCCCGCCAGTGTGTCCCTCCTCCTGCCCCGAGCCCCCCCAGCCAGCACCGATCGCCCCCACGACGTCCGCCGCTGTGACATCGGCACCGTGGGGCTCGCGAGAATGGCTGCGAGGAGAACAAATCCTATGTGTGGCGCTGAACCCACTTAACCGCGAGGCAGACCACAACGTGATGGCACAGAGTGATGTCGAAGCGCGATGTCACGCCAAAAGTATCGCCTCGACGCACCGTGATGTCGCGTATGAACGTCACATCGTGATGTCACAGCTTGAAATAAAGTTTGACGTCAAAGCGTGATATTACAGCGCGATGTCGCAGCGCGATGTCGCAGCGTCACGTCGCAGCGTGACGTCGCAGCGTGATGCCGCAGCGCGACGACGCAGCGTGATCTCGCAGCGCGATGTCACTGCGTGGTGTCAACAAGGGCTCCTTGGGCAGCGATGCAAACGCCACCATTACTGGCAACCGTGGATCGGACCCTGTCGTCGGTTCCCCCACTGTGGCCTTCATGTTGCACGTAGTCATACGCGGGGGTGCGCCCCCATACAGGTTTCCAAACAAAATTATCTGGTGATTGTATGCTGTCGAGTGTGGATACGATCAGCTGGGTGTCGGACTTCCTGGAGAGCGATGATGGTGGCACCGTAGTGCTCTCGGAGTTTGTTTACGACGCCCCAGAGAGAACGCGAGAGAGAGAGAGAGAAAAAGAGGGAGCACCACCATCATCAGCAATCATCATCATCATCATCATCATCATCATCATCATCATCATCAGCATCATCATCATCATCATCATCATCATCATCATCATCATCATC